CGGATGCCATAATTGTGTACCTAGTCTGGTAGTGTTGCGTCAGACTCCATCCAGATGGACCAAATTCTATCAAACTTTTGAGGACACCCTCTGCTAGCGTAAGTGGCTTTATGCAGTGGCAAAGCTGTGTTAACCAGTGTTTTCCAAGCCCCCAGACCAGGCGGTTCAGATTTCCTCCAGTGGAGGATAAGAAGCTTCCTGGCGTAAAATAACAGATATGTAAGTAGTGTGCGGGACGCCACCGAGGGTACAATATCGTCAATGAGTCCCAGTATACATATTTGGATATTTGCAGCAATGGGGATCTGCAATAACCCCGAGGCCACCTCCATTACTCCCCTCCAGTAGGTCTCGAGTCTAGGGCAGGACCACAACACATGCACCAGAGCAGCCGGCTCCCAGGGACTCCTCCAGCATCTAGAGGATTCCGTGGATCGCATAGTAGCAAGTCTGGCCGGCGTGTAGTAAGCGCGATGAACAATTTTAAATTGAATTAACCTATCCCGGTGCACATACATCTTTAGCCCCCCTTTCAAAGATACATTTGCTGCGTACTGATGGATCAATAAACAAACAGAGGCAAGGAGAAGCCCTTTGGATACACTGATTCTCTGGTACAGTCCATAATATGCTATTGGGGGTCAGACAGTGAACACATCCCTCAATTCCAGACAAAATAGCACATCGAGATAAATAGAAGTCTTCTGCATGTGTCAGTGCTGGGAGCTTGATTTAAGTGACAGCGGAAGGGGGACCCAGCGATAGCTAGTAAAAAGAGCCCCCCTCAGCACCAAATATTTTAGGTACAACTAAAAGGCAAAACTGGGCAGCTGCTGGAGAATGCGCCGTCCCTTGTGACCTGACACTCACATTCTCCCTGACTGAATGCGTTTGTGCTCACATATAGAGTAAGTAATGTGCAGGGGAACGCTTCCACAATCATGTAAGAGGTTGTACCATTTACTAATTACTGTAACAATACTACTTTAAAGATTATGATGAGGATACAGAGTTCAGACAGCCAGGCCCGAGCAGTATGGCATGAGGAAGTGGGACCATGCAAATCATGACTTTGAGAAAGTCTGTATTTTTATATTCCAAGGGCTGGCGGAGGCATTGGAAGCAACCAGTATGTTACTTTAGATGATAGCACATTATGGGGCCCGATTTACACCCCTGCTTTTCTAGATCAATGAATACAGTATTTTAAATGGGACCTGACATAACCCGAGCCTGCAATTGGGAACAGAGATAAGAATGGGACCTGGGATCATGATGGGACCTGGGATGATGATGATGAAGATCTGAGATGACAATGATAATGGGGACCCAAGATGACGATGGGGATGCAAGCTAATTAAAAAAAAAGCCCCCTCAGCACCAAATATTTAGGCACAACTAAAGGCAATACTGAGCAGCTGCTGGAGACGGCGGCCCAGACGATGATGATGGGGACCAGAGACGACAATAATGAGACCTGGGATCATGAAGGGCACCCTGCACAGCCCCGAAAATGCTTGTGCCGGAGTGACAAAATCTGTCAGTAAATGGACGGTCTCTGATTGCACAACTTACTTTGGTGTGCTGGTGACATCTTTATCAAGTCTTGACATTGGCGGAGCCACCCGTGGTCACTACAAGCATCCATCTGCATTACATTGGGGATATCCGGTAAGGAGTGCAGCAAGAAACCTCTTCATTGTACAATACGGACCAGAGATGACAATGGGGACCCAAAATGATGATGTGACTTGAGATGACAAAGGGAACTGGGAGCACAAGGGGATCTAGGACCACAACTGATTGGGTTCAGAGATAATGATGGAACCACAATGAGAAACTATGATATAGGACTTGGGACCACAATGGGGATCCGAAATGATGATCGGGACTTGAGACAAGAACTGGACCACAATGGGGAGCCTAGATGGTGATGGGACCACAATGGGGACCTGAGGCAACAATGGGCCCCGGGATCTCGATGGGTGCATGAGATGACAATGGGTGCCCGAGGGGGGATGGTGGAACCTGGGACAAGGATGGGATGGTATCACAGTCTGGGTACCAGAAGCTGGCAGTGCATACTGTAACTGAACTGTGCATGTCCAATCATACAGGTCCCCCAACCTGTGGAGTATGCTGAGAGCAATGCAGAAGGTGCTATAGAAGGACAAGGATTATCAGGTGCCGAGTACAGAGAACTGTCAGTGGGGGACACAGGAAGTTTTGGGGGGCTCCTCGGGCCCCATAGTTGACACGTCCTCCTGCCCACTGCTTGACAACAACCCCCATCCTCCGCCTCCCCCTCCTCTCCAGGAAGCCGATAATGAAGTCCGCTGACCATCAGCCAGCCTGCTGTATAGAGCGACCCCCTTCACCGTCACCCACACACTACGACCCCCTTCCCCGGGTACCTTGAAGCGCTTTCCCGGACCTCTCAAGCGAAGCTCGTCCTTCCCATCCAGCCCCGGTGACAGAGGTGTAGACACAGTCGCTCAGTAAAGGCCAGCAGCACCGGTGATCACCCCAAGCCGCACTCCCCGCCTCTCCCCACTGCGGCCGCCGCTGCTGCCACCATACACTAGGCGTGACGTCAGAGGGCGATCAGTGCGCAGGCGTGGATCCCTGGCTTTAACCCTGTCATTGCCGCACTCTCCGAGGATCTCCTACTCCAGCTGCCTGAGGGTCATACCCAGGCCGGGGTTACCTAGGGTAGTCCTATTAGGAGCAGGTCATGGCACCATCGGGAAGACGATTCTATTGACAATGATGTCATAATAATAATCTAAAACTGAGGAGCAACTTCGTGCTATCTGGTACTTTGACTGATGTCTGATCCAGCCTTGTTCTAAACCATGAACATGGGACTTTTCATGGACTGACACTGACAATCAGGATGTGGAACAACAGCTGTCCAAAAATGTACAAACAAAAGTTAATAGTGTACAGTAAATACAGAGTATGGAAGGATTAAAACCCCTGCAAGGGAAATTTTCCTTCACTTCCTGTCCCTAAGACACAATAGGAAGTAAGAAATCTCCTACAATGAAGGGATCCCCCCCTTTAAGACTTTGTCCCTGGAACATGTGTCCCCATCTGAAGATATACCCTTCTGGGGACAACTGTAACATTTCAGATTTCCCCTCACTGTCTGTCTCAGTGACAACGGTCACTCATATAGCAATGAATCTATCCCCATGGGACAGCAATCAATACTTCACAGAGGGTCTAACCCTTCTACCACTATCCAAAACTTAAAAAAAAAAAAAAATTTCCAAGAGATACACTTTATAGCTAAACCCCCAAAAAAACAAAAATGTTCTATATTACAGCTTGTCAGAAATTAGCTGCAGTGGCTGCATTCGAAGACTTTTTTAGGCTAAGAATATTTTCAGCAAATACAGAAAATATCCCCAGAATATTGTTTCAATAGAGAAGCGAAGGCTCAGTGCCTCTGTAAAGTTTTTTTTATTGCTGTCATTATCTGTTTTGGGGATTGGTGTCATGTAGGACAGGAAGTGAAGAAAACTCTCCCCAAGGGGTTGATTTATAAATGACCACCACTAGATGGAGCTCATGAGTATTTCCTATGCTCCTGGGCTCCATCTAGTGGCAGTAGTGCTGTGTGAACGGCATTCCCCCAGCTGTACACCGGGCAGAAGATTTATAAATCAGCCTTGATATGTTAGAGTTTGACAAGCCAGCTCTGCAGTGCTAGATGGCACTCAAAGAACCTCTCGCTGTTTGGCAGGCATCCACCAAATAAATATTCAGTTCTTTATCAGATTACCAGGTGACTGGCTGATTCTGAAATGGAAACAAAATCATGACTTTGTAATCAAGGACTTTTTTGTTTTACGTATTTTGTGTGAACTTTTCCTCTTCCTAAACATATTGGGGCTCACAATGACAGGCGTTCTATTCACATGCAGCGTTAGCTATTTGCGTTTGAATGGCAGTGTCTGACAAGAAAAGGCACACACATCTTATTGGGACCTGCTGCGTCCTGAGAAATGCAGCACAACGCACCCACTGAACTGCCATATGTACTGTTCAAATAAAGACAATGGGATTTGCTGACGTGCATTTGAAGTGGATCCAAACGCATGTCAAATGCAAGAAAACAATGCCTGCTGTCGTAAGCCATGAAAGCACACGAAAAGTGAAACAATATTCAAAATCGCTGGGAGGCAGAATTTTTGGCATAAGAAGCTCTACGTTTAGTTTAAGTGATTTTATTTTTATACCCTCCCCCCCACTTCCTAGTTTGTAAATGTAAAGTCTCTTCTGCCCAAAAAAGTCTTCCTCTCTTCCCCAACGATTTTTTATTCCCTCTCTCAGGATCTCTACGATGCCATGAATGGGCCTTATGCCAGAGATTATGTAGCTCCATCATCAGTGGCCACTCAATGGCCGAAAATGGTGCCTGAGAAGTGTCAGTGACGGAGATGGCGGAGGTGAAGGACAGAGCTGGGAACCAAAGATGGATCCAACAGCACTGGAGAATGGCACATGTGTAAGGTAAGTGCCATAATGTGCCAGCCCTTGTGAGATAACCTATCCTTTAAACCCCACCCTGGCTGCTTATTTACCTGCTGCAATGTTTACATTCTCCAGTTCAAGGGTGGCCAAACTCTGGCCCTCCAGCTGTTGTTGAACTACAAATCCCATGAGGCATTGCAAGATTCTCACAGCCAAAGGCATGGCTCCCAGAGACAGATGCATTATGAGATTTGTAGTTTCATCACAGCTGAAGAATCAGAGTTTGCCCACCTTTGCTCCAGCCGAAATCTTCCTCCCCACTTTCCAGGCTTGTGCAGTGAGCACTCATAGACTTGTATGTCTCCTGGTACATGTCTAGGAATGCTCACTGCCCAGGGTGCCATCTTTTCTGGGGAGGGGAGGGGGGCACTGTCCTCATCGTTTTTTCCTATCATTATCACTAAGTCTGAATTTTACTGGCCAGGTGACACCTCTATTCACTGTTCAGACATGAGGGGCATTTCAGAATGAGGATGTAAACATCAGAGTAGGCCTCAAGTACATTTATAGTTTATAGATTGGTCACAAACAATCCAGCCACTTAAAAAACCTTCTAATTCACGTAAACACACAAGGCTGTGCCCCATATGTGTGACTGACACCCCTTTTGTACAGTGTAGCAGCTGAAATAGTCAAGAAGGTTTTTTACTGTGAAATCAGACAGCTGATGGTGTCTGCCGAGTTCCGAGAGTAGCCATAGGCTTTCCAGTTTTAGATGACCCAGATTAGATTGTCAGGCTCAGGAGAGAAATATCCAATATGCATGGGAAGCATTAGGATTCTACTGAACTGGAAATTACTTAGCTATCTTAACCAATCCTTGTAGACAGTATAACTGCCCCATGCTACTTATGGGGGCCATTTTCAGGGTTGTAAGGAATCTAGTATTTTGCTCCCATTCTCCTAATAGGACCCATCAGGTGCTCAGAAACCCAATGGGGGGAATTGATCAAAACTGGAGCAGACAAAATCTGGAGCAGATTTGCACTGCAACAAATCAGCTTCTCTGTCTCATTTTCAAATCTTATGAGCAAACTCAAGAGAGAAGCTGGTTGGTTGCCATGGACAACTGCTCCAGATTCTATCTGCTCCAGTTTTGATAAATTCCTCCCAATGTATGTCAAATTAACGATGAAAGAAAAATGGATCTTCCATTCTCTGACCTGATTCAACACAATTTATTCTATTCTTATATTCTTAATATATAGTCTTCTCTGCAGCAGCAGGCACAAACGATGCCAGTTCCCACATGTTGTTATCTTTTAGATGCAGTCCTTAGTTATGAAGCAGCCCAACTGACAATCAGCAATACTAAACTGTCAGTATCTTCAGGCTTTGTCCATCCATTATGAAAACAATTTCCGGCTATCACAGCTAGGTTGATTATAATTGATTTAATGCATCGCTTTCAATAATGAGGTTGTGTTTTCTTTTAAGGCCAATCTCTGGGCAAACCAAAAAGCTGCCTGTGTAGTGGGGCTACCATGGCACTGCAAGGGTTAAGTGCTTGTTGTTGTCTAGGGGCGCAATATAAGCACTTTTAATTACCTGATCCCCGCTTCCCAGGTGGTCAGCACTCTCCTCTTCTCCCCTTCGCTCAGGCTGGTGAAATGTACAGTATTTCAGCATCCTCTCGTCTAAATGTGTCCATACACTGCACGATTCTCGTACGAGAATCGCGGGAAATCCCGCGATCGTACGAGAATTGTGCAGTGTATGGAAGGCGTGCGACCGTTTCTACCGTACGGTCGCACGTCTTCCATCAAACCAGCATGTTTGAAAACCCGCCGGGAATCGTACGATTCTCGGCGAGTTGGTGGCCTGCTGGTTCGACAACTGCCGAACGGGCCGGTGTGCGCACGCGCACACTGCCCGTTTGCAGTCAGCGTAAGCCCGCCCCTCATTACAGTCATCGCAAGCCCGCCCCTCAGGGGGCGTGGCTTGCGATGATCGAGAGTGCGATCTGCCTGTCCAAGATGGGCAGATCGTACGTTTTTTTAATCCCTTTACAACCATCGCAAGACTGAGGTCTTGCGATGGTTGTACAGTGTATGGCCACCTTAAGTCAAGTCTTTGGAATCTGCATTAGACGTGATGATTTCAGCGGTTCTTAGACCACTGGAGTGAAGGGGAGATAAGGCTGTGAGGACCGGTCTAGCAGCCTAGAGGGAGCTAGTAGGAGCGGGGATCAGGTGAGTGTGCTTTACTCCAGTCGCTTAGATAAAAACAAGCTGTTAAAGGAGAACAATTGGGTTAAGGCTTTTCCCCATAGTTCACCTTAGGGTAACAGGAGGACACAAACTAGCGTCCTCCCGTCAGTATACAGAGCCGCCTAGGCTCAGTATACTCCCGTCAGTATACTGAGCGTCCTCCCGTCAGTATACTGAGCGTCCTCCCGTCAGTATACTGAGACGCCGCAGTATACCGCGAGCTGCTGCTCGCGGTATACTGAGGCGCCGCAGCTGAAGCAGATCCCGACAATTGTGCTGGGATCCGCCCAGCTGCGTGACTGACAGCTGGCTCTGTCTATCTAGAGGCAGAGCCAGCTGTACCCGCCCCCCTCCCCCGTCCGTTCCGCCAGTCAGCGCTGGCGGATCGGAGCGAGGAGGGGGGAATCCAGCCCCTCCCCTGTTGCGGCTGAGAGCCGTGACAGGATCGAGAGGTGAGCGAACGCCGGTATGTGTTCGCTCACCTCCCGATCTACTGAGCGGACCTGTGACAGTCTCATTGTCACAGGTCGGCTAGTACTATGAGGTGACTGAAGGGCACTCACCTCATAGTTCTCCTTTAACCTTTGCAGGGGAGGCGGGGTAGTTTTTTGCTTCGACAGAGATGAGCATTAAGGTTTAATAGCCAGTCTCACCCCCAGGAAGGTTTTCCAGGAAGAGGAAAAGCATCACAGGAGGTTCCAGAATTATCATTCACAGGCAGATATCTTCATATAATGTATATG